TTGTGTGTGTAAAACCTCAAAGGCACAGACAAGTAAAACAAAAATACACAAATGGGATTACATCAAGCTGAAAAGCTTCTGCTCAGCAAAAGAAACGATCAACAAAGTGAAGAGACAACCCACAGGAGGGGAGAAAATATTTGCAAACTATTCTTATGACAAGGGATCAAAAATCAGAATATATAAGGAGCTCAAGCAATAGCAGTGTGTATGTGGGGTGTGTGTGTGCGTGTGTGATTTAAAAATGGGTTAAAGATCTGAAGGGACATTTCTCAAAATGCCCAACAAATATATGAAAAATGCCTACCAAAACTGATCATCAGAGAAATGTAAGTTAAAACCACAATGAGATACCCTCTTACTCCAGTTAAAATGGTCTTATCCAAGAGACAGGCAATGAGAGATGCTGGTGAGGATGCAGAGAAGGGGGAACCCTACTATGCTGCTGGTGGGAATGTAAATCAGCACAGCCACTACAGAGAATGGTAAGGAAGTTCTGCAAAAAATTAAAAATAGAACTACCACTTTGTTCTCGGACCAAGCTGAGGGTCGGGCTGCCATTTCTCATGGCCCGATAATGAGATACAGATGAACTGGGGAGGAAGAGAGTTTTTATTTCTGTAACCAGTTACAGGGAGAAGGCCTGAAAATTATCAACAGACCAACTCAAAATTACAAAGTTTCCCAGAGCTTATATATCTTCTAAGCTATATGGCTACGTGTAAGTGTGCATTCATCCAAAGACGTAAGTGATTAACTTATTTTCATCTACAACGAAGGTCTGAGTCTTGAAGACTGTCCTCTGGAGCCTCAGTATATTTACTTAATCTAAATGGGTCCAGGGCTGGGGTGATTACTCTTTTCTTGTCTCCTGCTAAATCATGGAGGTTTGGGGAGTTCCTTCAGATCCCCAATAAACTTGTTTGTGGAGGCCTGAGGAGTTTCTTCAGACCCCCAGTAAAAGTTGTTTAATCATGCTGCAAGGTTCAGGAAAGGCCTAGTCAAGACACTTGGTGGGCTTTTGTGACATTCCAGCCTTTGTATAAAGGCACTGGTTTTTTCTAGCTTTTAATATTTAACTTAACCACTCAGTCAGTACTGAAACAGTTGTCATGGAGGCCTGCGTTCGTGAAACCTGGCCTGCCACAATATGATGCAGCAATTCCACTACTGGATAGACAGCCAAAAGAAAGGAAATCAGAATATCAAAGAGACAGCTGCATTCTCACGTTTACTGCAGCACTGCTCATAATAGCCAAAATGTGAAATCAATCTAGGTGCCTATCAAGGGACAAATGGATGAAGAATATGTGGTACATATACCCAATGGAATACTCTTCAGTCTTTAAATAATGAAATCCTGTCATTTGCATCAACATGGTTAGAACTGGAAGCCATCATGTTAAATGAAACCAAGCACAGAAAGACAAATACTGCATGCTCTCACTCGTATGTGGGAGCTAAAAACGTGGATGTCCCAAAGATAGAGAGTACTTTGGTGGTTTCAAGAGACCTGAAAGGGGAGAGAGGGTGGTGAAGAGAAGTTGATTAAGAGGCATAAAAATACAGCTAGAGAGAAGGAATAAGACCTAGTGTCTGACCGATCAGTAGGGTGACTATTGTTAACGCTAATCTATTGTACATTTCAAAATACCTAGAAGAGAATAATTCAAGTGTTCCTGGCATAAAGAAAAGAAATGTTTAAGGCAATGGATATCTCAATTTGCCCAAATTAATCTTTACACTTTATATGAATGTATAAAATTATGATATGTACCCTGAAAAGACGTGCATCTATTATGTATCAATTTTAAGTAGGTAACATTCTGTAATGCAGAGCAGGCCTGCCCACCTTCAGCAGAGGCTGAAGAGGTGTGATGGTGGCAGCTGCTGCAGCTCCTGCTGCCAGTGGCAGGAGCGAGAACAGGAAGAGGTTGGGAGAGGGGCCAGAGACCCACAGGGACACGCGGGTGTGCTGCGTCAGCCTGTGTGGGCACTCCAGTGGAGTGAGTCACCATTGAAGGACTGAGATGAATCAGGAGCTGGGGGCCAAGTCTAGGGGCCAAGGCGCCAGCGTGTGGAGACACGAGGGTCTGCAGGACCTGGAAGCATGGCTGTGGTGAGGTGAGGTGGTGTGGGCTCTGCACACCTGGAAAAGTCTTGTGTTCTAATAAAATCACAAAAGTAATCGATGTTCAGTCTCAAAAATTCAAACAAAGCAGAGGCATGAGAGTGAAACGAAAGGTTTCTGCCCTTCCCTGCAAGCAGTTTCTCCTTCTCCCAGGGATAAACCATGAGCTGTCTGCTGTCTACGCTTTTTTTCTAGGAAATCTGTAGACTTCATTCCCCCTAGTCAGATGTCACATGAAATATTACATTCCTTTTTTTCCTGTGTCTTTTTTTTTTTTTGATAGTGATAAAAATACATAACTTAAAATGTACTGTTTTTACCTTAAGCACACAGCTCAGTGGTGTTAAGTATAGATGCTCCTTGACTTACTATGGAGTTTCTTCCTGATAAACCCACGGTAAGTTGAAAATATTGTAAGTTAAAGATGCATTTAATATACCTCAACCAGTCATGTTGACTCACATCTGTAATCCCAGCACTTTGGGAGGCCAAGGAGGAAGGATCTCTTGAGCCCAGGAGTTCCATACCAGCCTGGGCAACATAGCAAGACTCATATCTCTACGAAAAATTTAAAAATTAGGCAAGCACGGTGGCATGCACTTGTGGTCGTAGCTACTTGGAAGGCTCAAGCAGGAGATCGCTTGAGCCCAGGAGTTTGAGCCTGCAGTGAACTGTTATTCACTGTTATGCACCACTGCATTCCAGCCTGGGGAACAGAGAAACCTACCTTGTTTTATACACACATACACACACACACACACTCACACACACACACACACACACACACACATTAGATGTGTATCTATCTACATGTAGGTAGATAACACACACATATACACACCCCTAACATACATCATAGCTTAGTCTCACCTACCTTAAATGTGCTCAGAACACACATCAGCCTGTAGTTGGGCAAAATCATATCCAAAAAATGCTGGCAACATCGTGCACTTCAGAGTATCAGTAATTTACCCTCGTGATTGAGTACCTGATGGGAGCTGTGGCTTGCTGTCGCTCTGTGGCATCAGGAGAGAGTGTAGCCCGGCACACGCTCGCCCAGGATAAGATCAAATTCAAAATCTGAAGTATGGTTTCTACTGAATATCACTTTTGCACCATCATAAAGTTGAAAAATCATAAGTCAGACCATTGTCAATTGGAGACTGTTCATTCACATTGTCTTGCAATCATCATCCGTCTCCATAACTGTTTTGTCTTCCCAAAGTGAAACCCTGTTAAACAATAACTGCCCATTCTCCCGCCTCTGCCAGTTTCTGGAAAGAAACCACCAATATACTTTGTGTCTATGAATTTGACTATTCCTATATTTCACATAAATAGAATCATATGATATTTGTCCTTTTGTGACTGGCTTATTTCACTGAACATATGTGATTAAGGTTCATCCATGTCATAGCATGTTTCAGAATTTCCTTCCCGTTTTTTTTTTTTTTTTTGAGATGGAGTTTTGCTCTGTCACCAGGCTAGAATGCAGTGGCACCATCTCGGCTCATAGCAACCTCTTAATCCCAGGTTCAAGCAATTCTCCTGCCTCAGCCTCCTGAGGAGCTGGGATTACAGGGGCCCACCACCATGTCTGGCTAATTTTTGCATTTTTAGTAGAGATGGAGTTTCACCATGTTGGCCAGTCTGGTCTCAAACTCCTGACCTTAGGTGATCTGACTGCCTCGGCTTCCCAAAGTGCTGGGATTGCAGGTGTGAGCCACTGTGCCCGGCCAAGTCTTCTTCATTAATGAAAATTATAAAGAGAATGCCTCATGATGTTTTTACGAGGCTGAAATGAGATAATGTATATTAAAACTTTAGCATAACACTCGGCACATGGTGTTAAACATGGAATCAATGACAACTGATTTTATGCAAAATATTGGCATAAGCATATTTGTAGATAATTTTTGTGCACATTATGATGTTTTTGTTCAGCTAGGACTACAGGCATGCGCCACCATGCCCAGCTAATTTTGGTATTTTTAGTAGAGATGGGGTTCCACCATGTTGGCCGAGATGATCTCCATCTCTTGACCTCGTGATTCACTCACCTCGGCCTCCCCAAGTGGTTGGATTACAGGCATGAGCCACTGCGCCCGGCCTTCCCTCCCTTTTAAGATAGCGTAACATTCCATTGTATGGTTTATTTTGGACATATGGGTTGCTTCTAGCTTTTGGCTATTGTGAATAATGCTGCTCTGTGAGCATGAGTATATAGGCACCTGTCTGAGTCCCTGCTTTCAGTTCTTTTGGGTGTAGACTCAGTGGAACTGCTGGATCATATGGTAATTCTATGTTTAATTTTTTGAGCAACTGCCATACTGTTTTTCACAGCTGCACAATTTTACATTCCCACAAAAAAACGCACAAGGGTTTCAATTTCTCTTCATGTCCTCATCAATATTCATGTTTTTATAATAACCATTCGAATGATTGTGATGTGACATCTCATTGTGGTTTTAATTTGCATTTCTCTAATGATTAGTGAAGGCAGGCATCTTTTCATGTGCCTTTTGGCTGTTTTCATATCTTCTTTGGAGATGTTATGTCTATTCAAGTCCTTCACCCATTTTTTAATTGGGTTAGTTTTTTTGTTGTTGAGTTGTAAGAGTTCTTTATACATCCTAGCTATCAACCCCTTATCAGATATACGATTTGCAAATATTTTTTTCCCAATCCACGGGTTGCCTTTTCACTCTGTTGATTTTGTCTTGTGATTTTTGTCTTGTGATGTAGAAAACTCTTAAGTTTTGATAAAGTCTAACTTATCTATATTTTCTTTTGTTACCTCTGCTATTATACTCAAGAAAGCATTGCCAAATCCAGTGTCATGAAGCTTTTCCCGTATGTTCTCTTCTAAGAGTTTTATAGTTTCTTGTCTTACATTTCAGTCTTTAATCCATCAAATTTATTTTTATATATGGTATAAGGTAAGGATCCAACTTCATTCTCTTGTATGTGGATATCCACTTTTCCTAGCACCACTGTTGAAAAGACTATCCTTTCCCCATTGCCTGGTCTTAGCCCGGGTTAATTTTTTAAAAAGTCTAATTACATCTGAATCCAAGCCCCCATTCCCCAATCCCAGAGTGGCACAAAGATCCCTGGATATATACCAGCCAAGGAGGTCATCTGTGTGTGAGCCCACAAGGTCCCTTCAGGTCAGGTGGCTTTGCTGATGCTGTGCCAAGTTTGAGGCAGGGGCATTGGCGTCTTTGACAAGCACAGGTACCTTGTTCTCTTGGGGCACATTAGATTTCACCCTCACCGAGGTTTGTCACTTCCTCGAGCAATATGAAGTTTCCCTCTTGGTCTAAGCCTCTGCCTCCTGCTCCATTTTAGTCATAATGAAATCTCTGGCTGTCTCTTGCTACTCGTTCCCATGGGGTATTCTCTCTCTTCTCTGACTCTCAAGGCACACCCTAGTGTAATCTCTTCAGTGACTTGGAATTTTACAAGACACAGGAAGACCTATTGACTTCTAACAGCTTCTGTTTTCTGCCCTGTAAAACTCATGAAAGCAAGAAATTACTAAAGACCTTGAGGTAGGGGTAAACAGAGAACAATGCACAAAATAATATAAACCACATGCACAAATATAACAGAATTACAGAGTTGACCCCACCACACACAATATTCTCTAGCTTGCTTTTTTAACTAAAGAATATATCAGATAAAGCTTTACTTCTCAGTTAAAGTTCCACCAATGTTATTTTTTTTTTTTTTTTTTTTTTTTTTTTTTGAGACGGAGTTTCTCTCTTGTGACCCAGGCTGGAGTGCAATGGCGCGATCTTGGCTCACCGCAACCTCCGCCTCCTGGGTTCAGGTAATTCTCCTGCCTCAGCCTCCTGAGCAGCTGGGACTACAGGCACGCGCCACCATGCCCAGTTAATTTTTTGTATTTTTAGTAGAGACAGGGTTTCACCATGTTGACCAGGATGGTCTCGATCTCTTGACCTCGTGATCCACCCGCCTCGGCCTCCCAAAGTGCTGGGATTACAGGCGTGAGCCACCGCGCCCGGCAATGTTATCTTTTTTTTAAAAAAAAAAAAGAGAATATAGCAGATCTATTTCTTTGCCAGCATATTTGGATCTACATCTTTTTCAAACAACTAGGCAGTATTGTATTCCATAATTTATTTAGCTATCTCTCTCAATGGAGATTTTTATTTTTTCCATTAAAAAGATGCTTCCCTCATACATGTGTTTTTGTGCACATAAGCATATATTTCTGCAGGAGAGAAACTCAGAAGTGGAGTTACTGCATTATTGGGTTGTTGGCCGTATGCTCTTCATATTTAACGAAATATTGCCAACTCCTTAAAAATGCTGAACCAATTTCTACTTACAGAATACCTGAGCAAATCAATTTTCACACATCCTTACCAATCCTGGTCATTGTCAGTCATTTTCTTTTTATTTACCCATCTTGTGGGTGAAAAATAACATTTTATTAATATTTTGTTCAGCATTTTCCTGATTACTGGAGACGTTGAACACCTTTTGAAGTCTGTCAACAGCATCTACTTCATATTTATGATTATCTTCTCCTACTTTTAAAAAATCTTTCTCATTGATTCTAAAGAGAATGCAATTTTCTATTTTACAGAAGTTAAACTGTTGTCTTATATAAGTTACAATGTTAGATTACAGTCTGTAACTTACGTGTCAACTTTATTTATGATTGAGATTCAGACTTAATTAGCAAAAGATGGAACCACAGCAGCAGTAAATTTTCCAGAGCTCCCCCAGGTAAGTAACCAGCCAGGGTTGAGAAACACTAACGCACTAATGTAAAGGACAAAATACACGGGGACCAAGAACCAGGCAATGCTTTCAGATGTAACTGGATTACAGAGCAGTCTTAAGTCATTGAGACATAAACAGAAGACCATGGTTATACCAGCCCTACCATTGCGCTAGTTTTCTCTTGCTTTCAGTTTCATGAAGGCCACACATTTCTTTCCAACCCAACTTGCCCCCATGGCTTCCCGTTGCCTTTACAGTTAAATCCAAACTTCTGATATGGCTCCTAAGGTCCTGCGTGATCTGGCCCTGTGGATTCAACTTCATTTTAAGCCCCTCCGACCCTTGCTCACTTGCATCCCTCACATCCTTCTGCTCTTTGACTGCACCAAGGCCTTTGAAGCTCAGGGGCTTTGGTCTTGCTGCTCCCTTCCCCCTTCCACCTCCACCGCTGCCTTTTGTACAACGAGCTCCTCATTCACCCACCTTCACAGCCCTTCAGAGATGTCTATGAAGATGCCCTCACACCCACCACTCACTCTCCACCTCTGCACCCGTTACTAACATTTCCTTCATAACACCTACCATGATTTGTCATCATTCAGTGTATTTCCTTATGTTGCTTTTGGAAACAAGCATTCTCACTGATATGTCAACCCTGTGTTGTGACCCATTGTGTTCACCACGATACCCGGATATCCCACTACCTGCAGGAGGTTTGATCACTCTCTGTTAAATGGGCAAATCACAGCCTGGTCCCACTGTGGTTTCTTCCAACTCTGTTTCCTTCCCCCCGCATAGAATACTGGGTAAGGGGACAAGGAAGACGCACCCCTAAGGTGTAACATGAATGGGTGCTGTTCTCTGTGGTCTCCCGAGTCACTGAGGCATTGGCCAAGCTCAATGATCAGTAGGTGCCCAAGGACTCTGCCACTGCTTTGAGTGTCTAGACCCCCATCTGTGATGTAGGGCTGCTAATTGCCAATCCCAGGAGAGGACTCTGACTCATGGAGAAGAGCAAAGATCATCCTGCCAACTAAGAGACTCAGGAGACCATACACACTTGCCCACCGCGTCTCAGGTTACTGCCTAGGACCACAACACACCGATCACCAATGTGTCTGAGTCCATTGAGGCAGAACACACACACACACACACACACACGAGGTATGTGAAGAAGTCTCACCCATTATGAGCCGGGTCCCCAAAGCTCAAGAAGGCTGCTCAGGGTAGATGGAATCTTGACTGCACATGTGCCACTTTGTGCCACAGCTGATGGACCCCAACGGGCATCCTGCCCCGGGTTATATCTCTCAGGGACTATGGGACTCAGGTGGCAAAGCATCGAGGGGCATCCTGCTTTAAGGGAGAGAGGAACAAAGCCTGCACACCCTCGGCCGTGCCTCTCCAACTCAATACACTACACTCCTTGGGAGGGACAGGAAAAGTCTGGACCATCCTGCTCCCTGTCTCAGGATATGTCATTCCCAGCACATCACACAGTTATCCCTGTGGACTACGGGCAAGAAAAGGGAGAGAACTGGGTTGGTCCAAGGCCACCCAGAGAACTGTCCTGCATTGCCCACAGCTCTCGGCTGGGCCGGTACTCTGACTATTGCTCTTGATCTCTGCTCTGTAGCACCAGGACTTCTCCATCTCGGGCCCTTCTTCCAGCTCGAGATGTTTTTGAACTGAACTGGGGTCCACTTGCCCAGCACAACAAAGCCCAACACTGATATTGGGATAGCAGTGAGAGAACATGAGGCATTTATTGCTGGGTGCCAGGCAAGGAGAATCAGGCAGCTCATGCTTAAGACCCAAACTCCCAGATGGCTTACGGGCAAGAGTTTTTAAAGGGGAGGAGGCAGAGGTGGCAGGCAATGTCATAAATCTATACATGGGTGTTACAGATTGGTATGACCTAAAATGGTGGGACATCTCAAAGGAGGGGGTTGCTCACAGGTCATAGGTGGACTGACAGATTTTTCTGATTCGTGATTAGTTCAGGAGGTGATGCTTTGTCCAAACATGCAGGAGCAGTGAAAAGAATATTAGCTCTGACTTATGGGCATGGCCTCTCCCAGGCCCTGTAAGAAATGTAGAACAACAAATGGTGGCCAGAATTCATTTCTGTTTCCCCTTATCTGACATGTGTGTGCCAGCAGATCCATTTAGTGGGGACTGGCTTCTTGAAAAATAACTCAGAGATATACATGCATATGTGAGTATGTAATTACCATGCACAGGTGCCTCCTGGCTGCCTCTCCTCCTCCTCCCCTTTCTCCTCCTCCTTCTCCCCCTCCTCCTCCTTCTTATTCCTCTTCTTCTTCTCTCTGAGACAGGGTCTTGCTTTGTTGCCCACAGTGCAGTGGTACAAACGTGGCTGATTGCAGCCTCAACCTCATAGACACAAGTGATGCTCTGGCTTCAGCTTCCCAAGTAGCTGGGACTACAGGTACACCATCATACCAGGCTAATTTTTTATTTTTTTGAGGATATGGGGTCTTATCATGTTGCCCAAGCTGATCTTGAACTCCTGGGCTCAAGCGATTCTCCTGTCTCAGCCTCCCAATGTGCTGAGATTACAGGCAGGAGCCACCATGCCTGGATCACCTGGCTTCTTAAGGACTGTCTTCTTATGTTCCAAGACTCAGTCAAGGTTTTTCTATGACGTTTTTCCTTCCTGCTTCTTCCCAAGTGGATCTGACCCCTCCTCCTTTTGTACCCTGACTGTTTCTAAACATCCTTCTTTACAACATCCACACCCATCACTCTGTAGCTCTCTGTTTATTTGTGGAGAGCAGGACCCAGTTTGAGTACCCAACCTGCATGAAACCCACCCAAGCTCTGGACTTTAGTAAGCAGATACATTCTCTTTTTGTTTAAGGCTGTTTGAGTTGGTCTTTCCGCCACTTGCAGAAGAGATCTGGTGTACATCTTTCATATCCCAAGGTTCACTCCAATCAGGGACCATACTTGAACATGGTTCATTCCAACCTGTCTGAAATGCACCCAAACTCTGGACTTTAATAAACAGATACATTCTCTTTTTGTTTAAGGCTGTTTGAATTGGTCTTTCTGCCACTTGCAGAATAGACCTGACAATCACAGACCATACTTGAACATGAAAGAGCTGTACATAGGGTCCTAGAAACCTTCCTTTAAGTGGACATCAGTCAATTAATCAAATACTCTTTGGGTTTGGTTATTAAACCAGTGACTACTCCACTTAATTGTAAATAGCATCTAATCCATATTTCTTTACACAGTTTTTAAGCAGGTCATGAAAAATTGCCAAATTCTTGGTGCACTTTCCAGATCTACCTATCAATGCCAACCACATGGAAAACAGAATTTTCTAAGTCACTGGTTCTTAGACCGGGGCTGGTTGTCACCACCCATAACACTGCTCATGGCAGTGGGGGTGGGGGATGTTCTCATCTATGTGGTTTCTTGTGCATCTCCTTGATGTCAAGAACTTTCTAAGACACCGTGAAGTTTCTTAGCTTTCTCCCATGTCTTCCACTTCCAAGTAGGAGTTCTTTACTGTTCGTGCACATATGAGCCAACCATTCCTTTAGCACTTAGAGACAAGCAGCCCCATGTTGGGAAGGAAATATAAAATCTCAGGACCCCAATTCACTTTGACAGAAGGAAAAGAAATAAACTGAAAGCTGAATCATGCAAGAAGCTGCCTTTGCCTTTGTTCCTAAGCAGATAGCTACAGATAAAAAGTTAAATATCCCTACAGATAGCTACTCTATGTTCACCTTATCTTCTACAAAGTGCCAACTTACTGAGCACAAGACTAACAAATAACTGACTGTTCCCTTACCTGCTCTCTTTCTCTTGCAACGTGTGGGTTTCATACTGTGACCATATCCTCCTTCTTCCCCCTTCCACCTGCTTGTCCCCTTTAATTAGTGAAGCCCTCAAAACCATCTTTGGAAAAAGGCATGGAACACGGTCATTTCTGCAGATTTGTAATCCTTTTTTCTGGGTGTGTTTTTAGCCTTGTCAAAATAAACTTATCAATTGATTGAGACCCGTCTCAGACACTTTTGGTTTGTAATGTTATGTATACACCTGTGTTTCCCATACCCTATCCTGTCTCAGTCAACTCACCATATCTTTTTTTTTTTTTTTTAATGATAGGTTGCGTTGCAGATCTACAGTCACTTAGGCTCTTAGACTCAGAGTAGCAGACCAACAGCAGTGATCAGCACCATCTGGGAACTGTTAAAAATCCAGAAGCTCAGGCTCCATCCCAGACTTGCTGACTCTGAATCTGCATTTTAACAGGACCCCATGTCATCTGCATGCACGTGGAAGCTTCAGCAACGCAGACTTAAACTTTGCATAGCCGAAACTTTGCATCCCCCTCTTTGCCTGCCAGTGGGGGAGTGGTGTTCTTCTGTGTTGTCTTTGCTAGTTTGCACATTTTCCAACTTTCCATGACTTCTCCACATCAAACATCCTCCTGAATGGTGGCTCTCAGATGAAGAATTGATCATCTAATGCTGAAGTTGTTAAACAAAACAAACTTTGAAAGTCAGCTTTTTTTTTTTGCAAGTCTTAGCTCCCAGTGGCCTTTTGCCGTGAAAAATCCACTGGCTGTTTTTCTTATGTATCTGGACTGTTCTGTTCTGTTTCTGCATGGCCTTGGCCTTGTATCCATCATTGGTGTATCTTGGTGATATGCTTTCTTTCTTTGAATGTGCTTTAATTTTTGTTGGTACATAGTAGGTATATATAAATATACACACACATACATACACACACACACATATATATGTATACACATGTATGGGTTACCTGAGATATTTTGATACAGGTATACAACTTGTAATAATCACATCAAGGTAAATGGGGTGTCCATCACCTCAAACATGTATCTTTTCTTTGCGTTACAAACGTTCCAATTATACTTTTAGTTCTTTTAAAATGTACAATAAATTATTGTTGTGGAATACTTGTGCTATGGAATACTTAGTTATGGAAAATAACTAAGTATTTTTTTTGAGTTAGGGTCTCACTCTCTTGCCCAGACTGGGGTGCAGTGGCCCAATCTTGGCTCACTGAAACCTCCACCTCCCAGGCTCACGTGATTCTCCTGCCTCAACCTCCCAAGTAGCAGGGATTACAGGCATGCACCATACTGCCTGGCTAATATTTGTATTTTTAGCAGTGATGGGATTTCACCATGTTGGCCAGGCTGGTCTTGAACTCCTGACCTCAAATGATTCTCCCACCTCGGCCTCTCAAAGTGCTGGGATTACAGGTGTGAGCCACCACACCTGACAGGATACTAGATTTTATTAATTCTGACTATAATTTTGTACCCATTAACAGTGCTATGCTTTCTGGACAGGCAGACTTTTTCTTTACTAATGCCCCCTTTTCTTCCAATATCATTTGCAACTGAACAGTTATTTAGCTTCTTATATCACCCTATCCCCACCTGCTGTTTGCTAGCCTCCACCTTCCAATCACAGGTTTATTGTAATTTTGGTTGAATCATTTTAATTGTCTTTATAAATATTATTAGTTATACATTTAATATATTATAGTTCCTTTCTTTCATAATTAATTGCTAACTCTGGATGTAATCATTGCTGAAATTTAAGTGCTTAAATCACTTTCCTCTTTTTAGGCATTTATGTGCCTCTAGCCAGTTCTTCCCATCTTCTCCATAGGTTCTCAATATAATTTATCATGCGCTCAAGTAAATTTTAATCTTCTCATGATTCTATGTAGGTGTAGAGAATTTTTCCCAGGCCCTCTGCAGCCTTTCAGTTAACCTTTCGATGAGATAAGAAAAGCTATCAGTTGTCATTTTGTTCCGGAGACATCCCCTCTTGGAGCCGTCTGGCTTTATGTTCTAATTGGAACTGATTGATGGACAGGCGAGCTGCTGAGCTGACATTCTGGGGCTTCTTTTCATTATCATCTTGCATATCAGTGTGGGTCCAATTAGGAGACAGAAAAAGGGGAAGCTTAATATAAACAATTATTAAAGTATTATAGGAGAATAACTATAAAGATGTAAAGAAAAGAAAAACAGGTACCTGAGGGTTGAGGGAAGGACCCTAAGGAGGGGCCGCCTAGAGGGCAGCTTCTTCCCCAGGCTGCATCCTTGCTAAGAAGGTGCAGTTGCAGACTTCCAGATGGCAAGGGAGTTTCCGGGCTGCTGGGTCCTGAGCTTGTCCACAGTCACCTGGGAAGCAGGAAACCGGCCTCTTGAGTGTGAGCCAGCCAAGGCTCGTGGGGGCATGCAGAGGGAGCAGCAGCCAGACTGCAGTCAAAGGCCTGAGGCACAGTGTCTGCCGGGGCTGGGCAGGGGGTGGAGGATAGGGGCACAGCAACGTGGCCTCAACCAGGACAGCAAAGCCTTAAGAGGCTCATGCTCCGGGCATGTGGCTGGAGTAGAGCACCATCGATGTCTCCAAACAGAACACACAGAATGGTCAGAGCGGTAGGGGCAGGAAAGGTGAAGCACGGCTACTGCAGCCAGAAAGGACTCTCCCTAAGTGCCCCTCCACTGCCCTCTGCTGATGAAGCTTAACATCATGTTCGCTATGAAAGAGGCAAGCCTGAAAGGAGTTTATGATTGCACAGCAGGTACTGAAGGGTGATTTTAGAGCTGATAGGCCATAAATGGACCCCTGGCACAGACTACCCCTTCAACTACCCAGCTTTCATATGCACTCTTTGACACACATTTGACTGTCATACAAAACCAAACGGCTCAGTGTTTCTACCTAACAAGTCATGGCTCTCCTCCTTACAAGGGAGGAGCTATCACCTTTCCCCAAGATAAAAAGAAGCAAAATGCCCCAAAGACGCAAAATCCCCAAACGTGCAAAACCCAATGACCATATTCATCACTGCCTTTTCAAATGTAGTCATGGTCCCATGGAATATTCTATTACCTAACAACTAAACTGTAAAGTTGACCTCCAACAACTTGGATAAAAATTTAAAATAGGAAGGAGATTTTAAAAATGGTTTGTATATGTCAGTAAACACACGCATACAGAAAGCAAAGAGAAAATATGCAAAGCTTCTGCGGTCCTCACTTGTGTAGTCGGTCATGAGCTCGTGGTTGGTATCTGTTGTTTCTTTCTTCAGTGGTCCAGTCTAACTTTCTTGTCCTCTTGGCCCAAATCTCAGCAACCCAGGGTTTTCTATCCGGTAGAATGACAAACTTTCATTCATCAAGGGTCTGAGTCCCCAGCTGTGCTGCTTTTGTTTTGCTGTTGTTGTTACCTAGTTGTCCATTAATTTCTACTGCTGCACAGAGGAGTACTAAGAGATGGCTTGGTGGCTTCCCTTGGGTTCCAGACACGGTCCTCCTTGCCTCACTGTATAGCAGCAGCCCAATCGACCCGGGCAATTGAGATGAATCACTTCAGCCAACCAGCATAGTGTCGTCAGTGTGATGGACCCAGTGGGATGTTTTGTGGAATGTCAAGATGATCAAGATCTCTGCAGACTACATGATGGCAGAGAGCGGGGGAGTTGATGTTGCTCTGAGGCAGCACCGTGAAGATATACCATTGGACCAGACAGGTAAAAGCAAACTGCTCTGGTAGCCCTTGAATATTGGTATGGAGAAAGGGCATCAGCCAGGTTGGTGGCATCATACCAAGTACCAGGAGCTGTGTTGATTTGCCCCAGTAAAGACACTGCCTGGGGACAGCAGCTTCAAGCAGTGTATCATAACTTGATTTAGTCTAAGATGGTTCACAGTCATCCTCCAGGATCCATTTGGCTCTGCACAGGCCAAACAGGTACGTTAAATGGGGGCATGATAGACAGTGCCCTTCCATTTCTTTCAAGTCTTCGATGGTGGCATCAATCTCTGCAGTTCCCCCAGGAGTGCAGTACTGTTTCTGTTTTACTATTTTGGTAGGAAAAAGATATTCCAG